TACGTAGTACGTAGTAGTTACGTAGTAGTACGTAGTAGTACGTAGTTACGTAGTAGTACGAGTATAGTAGTAGTAGTAGATAGAGTAGAGAGAGAGAGAGAGAGAGAGAGAGAGAGAGAGAGTAATATTATTCTTGCCGGAGAGAGTCTATAAAAGTATCTTACCATTCTCAGTTGTAGGTAATACAGGTTGCTGCATCGATTCTTGTTTTTATATGAAACGAAGGTTTTAGGAGTGCCATGGGAGATATATGTTGTTGCGGTTCTCATTACTCAGGAAGGAGACTATACTCATTGATCTTCCCTTAAAACAGAAACAGCAGCTTTGGGGTGTCTAAATCTAATTATATTTTTATGACCTCATAGTGTCTGCCATTCTTGGTTTTCCTTTATCCTAGGTTTTGAGAGTCGAAAATTTTGAAAAGCATGACTATGGTGCAGCTCTTTGATTGCTTTCAATCTAATTGTCTTCCCTGCGGTTCGATGTTGAATGAGAAAGTGTCCAGTTAATTTTCTTACTTGTACGGCATGAAACTCTACTTAAACTGCCATTTGGAAGCCTTTGCATGGCGATGTTAGAACTTTTAAGATACTAGTATTTTTTGTTCTTTAGAACATAGTTTGCAATATACTCAAAAGCATGATTTTGTAATTTGGAAGGACTCTGGTTTTCTTGAGAAGTATCCAAACGGCGCAATTTTTAAGTATCATCAAAACAACCTCATATTTGAAAATGAAAAATAGCCGAGAAATATTGCTGAGTTGCGTTGCTATGCAGCGAAACTTCTAAAACTGTTTTCTTGAAACTATGCTGAAGTTCTTTTATTTGTATCGACCAATTTCTCTTGGTCCATCTCTTCCTCATGTTTACTTTGACCTTTGATCTTTTTTTTTTTGGTTAGTGGGGAGAGGGCCCCTACCCTTGATAGGAATTGAGCGTAGGACGTAGTGTTTTGACCGTAGTGTTTTTGACCTTTGATCTGTCAAAGAATTATTGTAGAATTCGGTATTTTATATCTCACCAGCTTAGCTTTAATAATTTTCAAGGAGTTTTTCTTTAAAAATTTAGGTCTCAACGATGATCAGAATTCTGGTGTTCCCATTAAATTTCTGATACTTGCAATTCAATGTTCTTTATGTCCCAATGTGCACGTATGTGCTCCTTTTTTAGGTCAATATTTTTTATATCAATGTGAAATGCTCTAATTCATATTCAAATTTCCTTTTGGGTTTGGTCCTTAGCTTGTTTCTCCTTTTTTCTGACCAAAGTCGTCTTACCAATATTAAACTGTTTACTAACCATGCCTTGGATAAGGGAAAGCTTTCTGTATAACACGAACCACATATAATTATGTGTGGCTTCTTGGCCATTTGATTTAAATTGATGGATTGCTCATGTCAAAATGTTTTGATTTTTAATTAATTAATTAATTATCTTTACAGAACCTTTTGAGCTGAAATTTGGTGTCCCATCTTCTTGGCCAAAACTAAAAAAATTATCATGAAAATAAATGATCAAAAACCCCTTGAAAGTTTTAGGGTATTTTGATAATTTTTATCACATAAAATACTTTTTTTTTTTCGCTGCAAAATGATGTATTGAATAGAAATTAAAAATAAAACAATTTGAAATCATGATTTGACGCCTAAGAGCTAACTTGTGACATTGTGGCTGAAGCAATTTCAGCCATCAAAAATTGATGGCTGAGATTATGGGCCACATATATTATATATATGGATGAGTCAAATGGTTCCTTGGATTAATAGCGAGGAGTGTTTAACAAAATTTTATGGCAAGGCGAATGAAGCTGTGTACGACAGATACACCGAGATACGTAGTGGATTTTGCACTGTTTTATTAATATAAAGGAAAAATGTTCTATGAGTCAGCAGATGCAAGAGCCCACTGACCCTCCGGCGTCCTGGAGTTTGGGCAAAGCCTATGGGGTCAAATCAGATATGGACGGTGCAAAAAAACATTTACAATGAAAACCTTTTATTTTATTTTATTTTTATTTTTATTTTTTTAATGATAAGCTTGACTTAGATGACGAATCCGTAAAATTTTGGATAAAAAGTCAATCTTTAAGGTGAGAATTTTAGCGGGGGACTGAACGTGTACATATGAGTCGACTGACTGGGAGAAACCCCATCCATTTATAAAACAGGAAGTCTCGTAGTTTTGAAGTTGAATTGTTGTCTACAGTTTTTCCCTCCCTCTCTCTAGCTTTCTCCCTCATCCTTCTCTCTCATCAAATTTCTCTCGCCCTTCTCTTCCCATCTGTCTCTCTAAATGTGACTTTCATTACTCTCTTCATCTTTGCCACTTTTTGTTCCTCTCAATGGAAAATGGACTTGAAGCGGTGAACTCTCATTCTCTCTCTCTCTTACTGTCTGCCAATGAGTTTCTCAGGTTTTGATCATTAATCACATTTTGCATAGGCTTAGAGAGAGAGAGAGAGAGAGAGAGAGAGAGAGAGAGAGAGAGAGGGGTTTTGGGTATAGGATGAAGGTGATTAATGATGGTTGAGGACGATGAGAGAGGCCATTGGGTATCCGTTGTATAAGGGCCTAGGAGAGAGTCAAAGAAGGGACAAAGGGGTTTCTCCAAAGGGTGCCGTTCGTATAAGGATGAGGCCTTAGACAATCAAAGCAAGGTGTACTTTCAAATAGAGTTGAGTATAAAAAATATTTATGATGGCATAAAAAGTTACTTTGAATACCTAACTATAAAATTTAAATATTAAATATTAGATCAAGAAGATATATGAACACTTGAAAATATTGAATATTGATGGTCTAGATAATGCATCATCAGGTGCACTTTTCCAAGACTTGAAGTTCATTTTTTTAACGTCCGTGTATCTTAAGATCGAGATGATTGGATTTGAGGATTTTTTAGCATTAAAAAGCAATTTTCTAGTGAATTTTTGAGGTGCGTCTTGATTTGATTGTTTAGGGGCCTCAACCTTATATAAACCTTTTCTTTCTCAAAATAGGGACAGAAAAGATTTTTATACACCATAGCACTATGCATTCAAAATACACAAGATCATTTCCTTTTAACAAGTGTAAGAAACATCGAACCAGAATGGTTAACCAGACATGGGCCTGGAAGTGGTTCAACTGGTCTAACGGGTAAACCCGCCAGTTCAACCGTTCTAACTCGGTAAGTCCCAGGTGGTAAAAAAAGTGTTAAAAAATAATAATTTTTTTAATAAAATATAAAAAAATATATTTTAAAAATGATTAAACAAAGTACATCCAAATAAAATTGAAAATAAATGAGAAAATGGATCTTAAAGAATCGATTTGTGCCCAGGATTATTTGTGAAAATTTTCAAAAAAATGAAAAAAATATAAAAACAAGTATTAATGGCCAAAACAATTTCCAATCTTCGCCATAATCATGAAAAACATTAAAAAATGTATTAGAAATAAAATCCCTTATTTTTTAGGATTTTATATAATTTTTTAAAATTTTTGTTTTTAAAATATCCGACCGATCACCAAAACGGGTCGAAACCAAAACCGGCAAGGAACAGGATCCGAATTAACCAGGCGGTTACCAGTTACACTGCCTGATTTTTCCTTCAATACCTTTAATGATTGTATTGCTCTAAGAAAAAAAGCAATTGTATCTCAGTTTTTAAACACTTATATTTGATGTCTCATTTCAATCTTAGGAAATATTTGGTACAAGAAGAAGTGTTTTTATTTGTTTATTTTCGAGGTCGGTCGCCATACTGAGGAGGCCACATTCTAAGTTTTGAGCTCCTAGAAATACTCATACCTGAGGAGTGAACAAAAGATAGGTGTCTTTAAGAGCAATGCCATCTATTTATACTATATTACTAATTCTTGGTTAAGAAGTGGGCACATGATACAATAATACAATAGACCATTTATTTAGAGAGAATGTTTATTTACCATTATGGAAGAAGTGTATACAAGACGTTCAAGGTGCACTGCAAAATTCCAAACTCTATAGTTTGATTATTTCAGACTTGAGATGTTTGGATATAAAGAAAAAAGAAATTTCAAATTCTAAAAATATTACATATTGTAACAAATTATTTGGACCATCTATTTTTTATTTTCAAGATTTTCAAATATTTATAGATTTGGTCAATCTATACTATTTTTACAAAATTTAAACTTTATAATGGATAAAAATAGATCTTCACACCATCACAAGATTTCTGATAGAGAAACTACATATTCAGACAAATTTTGGAAGCATATCGTAAAAAGAGGGCACCTCACAAAAACCCACCCGTCTTCTAAAGTATAAGGAGGGCACCTCGTACAAACCCACCCATCTACTAATATTAGAGAAGCCATGGCTAAAGTTGACTATTATCTCACAATAAAAGGGGACTATTTCCTTATAGCTAAGTTCAAAAAATCACCTATCCAAATTGAAACTGGATCACCAGTTTGGTTTCCACCATATATCGGGAATTGGATGGTTCCGTCAAAAACCGGTGATAAAACTTGTGTAAGTCCCTCATCCCATACTTTTTATTTTTCGATTATTTTTAGTTTTTTCAAACTTTACAATTTATTATATAAATAGTCCCACCTCCTTAAAGAAGTTCTTTTAGTAATACCACAACTAATAAAAAGTGGTCCATAATTTTATGAACGAGTGGCTGAAGCATAAACGATGCCTTCACATGGACGCTTATGAGAAGAATTTGCACTCATTCTCAATGTACTAAAAAACCAATTTACATATATTTAAGCAACCAAAAAGGACTTAGGGATCCACGGATTTAAGTATAAAATGATAGGTTATACAAAATAAGTTATTGAATCATCTGTCCCTATATGACCCAATCATGTGATGTGGGATAGATTTCATACCTCAAAATCATATAACGTATTATCGAAACTCTTTTTGATCCTCGCTATTTCTTACTGATGAGTTTTTCTAGACGTGAAAGAGCACACAACTAATGAAGAATCACTTGATCATCATTTTTACATGTCAATGAAATGTCCATCTTTTCGGCCCTTGGATTCTCCTTTTCTCATACCATGAAGAAATACTTTATCCATTCCATCATTCCAAATATCACAATTTTTAATTTTTCCACTGATCCTTAGAGTTTTTATGCTCCCACATCTGTATCTACAAATCCCTTCATCGCCAAAACAAAAGGAAGCTAATATGCTTTTATATGTATCGTGTTTCTTCTATTTTATGCAATTCTCAAATTGAGCACTCTTTATATAGAGCGTCATATTTCTCCCAAACATTGCATTACCTCTCTTAGAAGTTATACTATTGTAACTTATGCTCATGGTACACTATAAAACTTTGAATGAGCCTGAAAAAGGCATCCCTTACAAAGATTTGCCTTAATATGTCACATGTTTTAATTTTCTTGTAGAATAGAAGATGAGCATCCCATGATTAAAAAAATATGACATCTCTCAACTCACAAAGAATTTATTTGCAATAATTTTTAAGTATTAAGATAAACTAAAAAATACAACATAATACTCAGTGCCATCCCCAAATCACACCATTTAATAAGTCTACGGATTAGTGACATGCACATCACAAAATAGGTCATATTGCAAAATTCTAGGATGGATATTAT